CCCTGTTTTGATAATTAAGGCCCCTACACTATAGGGCTTCGAGTTTCGGATTTGGGTTTACCGTCCAAGGCTCTACGGTTTCGCGGACAAAGCCAAAGCTTGAGGGTCGCCTCCCAGGACCCCCAAAGTGCCCTTCGATAGAGCCCTTACGACTGGTCCTGAATAGTCGGTACTTAAAGTATATTCAGGGTTTAGGGTTTAGGGTGGGGGTCTGGGTCAGTGAGCTACTATGGCTATTACCTCCTGTGTTTTGGGAGGTCTTGTAAAAGCCCTAGTATAGAACTCAGAGGGACCCTGCAAACTATGGGCCTTTGGCAGCTTAGACCCTACCTTGAATAACCAAATCCTTTTTTTTGTAGGGTCCTAAATATTTCATGTTTTAGTTTAGAATAAGAACCTACGAACAAGTAGGTTAAGTTTTGTACTTTAAGGTAAACCTTAAACAAAACCCCGAGGCTGCGTTTAAGGACGCAGGCACTCGTTGCAGACCCTTCGACGGAAGCCCAAGACCCATGACTTCTCAACTGGCATTTATCTTAGAGCATAAGGTTTAGCTTGTAGGTTTTTCGAGTTTAGGATCTAGGTTTTTGAGTTTAAATGTCTGGTCTATGACTATTTTGTGGTGGCCATGAAGCCTGAAACCGTGCTTCTAGATCACGTATAACGCTCATATCAAACCCGTACATCACGTCGGCGTGACGGTCCGAGGATCCAGATTTAAATCTTTATGCCCGAAACCCTAGCCCGAGACCTGACCATCCCTTAACCCAACAGCAACTTCGCCGCTCATCAGAATAAAAAGCCTTGATTCTGGAATACTGACAGAGGCTTTCTTGTAGTGCTCGCTGCGTTGTTGTACCTCACAAGTTGCAAGGACCGCAGGACAGGAAGGGGTTTTAGGGGGTATGGATTAGGGAAGTTCAGGGTTTCATGGTTTGGGGTTTAGGGGTATGCTTCGGCCCAAAAACTTTCTAGACGTGTGCTCGTTTGAGGCTCGAAAATCTACTGTGCCTGCACTTGAGATTGCTTGGGCCCATTGGGATTTCGACAGGTACCTTCTGCAGTTCCTGCGGCGCATGATGCAGCTTCTCGGCAATAGATCGTTGTGACAGCTCGGCTACAGGGGAATATTTTCCCTTTGTAAGCCGGCCACAGGTGGATCCACCATCCCTTTTTGCTACAACACCACTACTTGCAGGCCTCTCTGCCACCCAGCACCGATATCCACGACACTAAGCTCCCTCAACCCTCGACCGCGCACCTCACACCTCAAACCCCGAAGCCCAAATCTTTCATACCCTAAACCCTAAACCCGGCCCGGCGAAGTCTACATCACCCTTTGGGTTTGAGGGCGTGGGGTTTAGGGATTACACCCGTAAGCCCACCCTGAAGCCGACACGCACTTATTCAACTCGATAAAACCCTATCAGACCCTGTAAAGTACTGCAAAGCCCAGTGGTTTAAGGGGCTCTGGATAACCTTGCACTTACACCCTAAACCCCTAACGTGAGAGGCCCACTGCGCTTAGCAAAAGCGATAGGAAATCGCAAGGGGCGTATAGATACTTAGATTAGATAAACAATGGGAGAAGTGTAAACTTGTTGCTTTGAGTTTTTGGTCAATCTTGAAAGTTTGACGTTTTGTTGGGCCCGGCTACAGATGAAGAGAGAACTTTTAAAGGAACCCTTATGATCTATGTTTAGCCGGTTTCTAAACCCTAAACCCTAAAC